TAGTAGCAGAAGAAGTAAAAGACTTTCAGATGCCACAACAAGCCAGTAGCTTTCTCCAAACAGAAAAGCATATCTTACAGTAGTAATAATTTGTGTCCATATTTTACTTGGCTCAATAACACAAGATAAACACACACTATAAGGATAAAAAAATTACATTTTTTATCGTGTGCCAAATCTAGAAACTGCTAAGTGCAAAATGCAAAGTGCAATCTATAAAAACCCCAAGAGAGAATGTATTATGCACACACATCCAAAGTCCACAATCAAGTTCATTGAAATAGGATTTAGCATCTGTAACATTTCAAAAATTGCTCAAAGTTTATCAACCAGTCAGACCCATGCCCTGGTGTGAAACAAAACTAAGCATGCCAAGTACAGTGTACATTAGAAGCAAACTAAGTTGTCACTATCCACTGAAAAAACTAAGATAGGCAAAGAAGAAAAAAGATTTGTCTATTTTCACAGGCTCCTCAGTTGAACATGGACTTACTAATACGTTTTCCATGAGTAGATTTTCTAGAAGAGTTCCATCAAACAATTTTATCACCATGAATTGCAAAGTCTTTATCTTTTCGACATACACACATTCATCCTACATTGCCATCTCAGCTTGTAATGTTGCAAGTTCATCTTCTTCAGTAGTATTTTTCTGGTCAGCAGGCCGAGTTGGAGATGGAGAGGCAGGAACATGCACTGGAAGAAGAGGAGCAGTTGTAGCTGGCTGAAGCAGCTGCTCTTCCAACTCAGCACCCTCCAATTCTTCAAGTTCTGCTTCCAGTTCATCCTGAATCCCAATATGATTTATAAATCATCATGCAGGACAGCAAAAAAAAGTTGTAAAATGGACATAGTTTGAAGGATGAATACTTCATCAAAGTCAATCGCAGGTCCAACTGGAGCAGATAATGCTTCCTGAATCTGTTTCATGTTTTCAGTCTGCTCATTAATTTCACTCAGTGTCTTGTCAACATCGTCAATATTACTGTAACAGAAAGCAATATCAATTAGCTACACATTTCTTCTCAGAATTAACATGTCAGAATCACAGAGCTACAGTTCGGAGCAGAACAAATAGTGATCAAATTTAACACAGGAAAGGAGTCACATAAAAACATATGCAACAGATAAGACATGCTCCAATCTACCAAAGCAGTAATGATAGGAATCTATGCAGGAAAACATAATATGACATGTCCAGTCAACATATATTCCAGGTAAACATCATATGCACTCACGTTGCCTTCTGCAGAGCCTTCAGAGCTGCAGTTCCAACTCTCATCGCATCAACAGTCTCCGTTGTAGCTTTTGCACCTTCCAACATTATCATCTGACAAAAATCAAACCCACAAAAACAAACTATCATAAACTTTGCTTGTGAGACACTCAGGAAATGCCATCTTTAATTGGAAAAAAGAACAACCTGATCATGAATCCGCAACTGGAAGTTCCCAAGCTGCTCAACTTCTTGTTCATATAGCCTTTTCCTTTTCAAGCATTGTATAGCAGCTACGATGTACAAAATAAAGATTTTCAACAATTATGTTTACAAACATATGATTGTTTTTACAAGTTATTCTCTAAATATATAACAAAAATGTATTATGAAATACATCAACACTGCTAAAAATTGATGAGAAGATGCATGTGCGGTAGCTAAATAACATATAAAAAAAATCTTTCATAGGAAACTTCTGGAAGACACACGAGCTCATTTACATCAACTTTCCATTGATAAATTCAGAATATAATAAATAGCAATCGGGTTACAGTACAAATGAAAATATCAAAACTGAATCAAGTCTAAATCATCAAGATGATATAGAACCACACCTCTAGAAGTTCAAAGCATGCGCTGCATGTATTGATCAATATAATACTTTTTCAACTCATACAAAAAAGATACCTATCAGACCTTGACGAATGGAAGCAACATAAAAATGGTCAGATAGTAACACACCCAGTTTCACAAAACAATGTCTATAACATCAGTTATGTAACAAAAATTAACTTTAAGACTAGTAGCAAAGCAGCAGTAATATGCATGAAGATGTACACATAATATCCTGGAAATAACTTAAGAGACAACTTTTGATCTCTAAGCAACATTTCCATAATGGTTCTGGTTTCAAGGAAAGCCATAACTAGATAGATCATTCTTCCAATTTAGCACCATTAGAATCATGGACAACTAACATAAGTAAGTAACCCACATGTGAAATCCAATAGCAAGTTGTAATAGCTACCTCTCTTGTTCTTTACTTTGGTAAATTCCTTGGCCTTCTCAACCTCAGTGGCCATCTTCTTCAGAAGAACTTTCTCTTTTTTCTCTAGCATCTCAAGTGTCTGAATTATGTATAACACCAGGAAGGAAGAGGTCATGTATCAGAGCAACTAAAATAATTTATATTTTACAAGTCACAATAAATAACCAAATCTGGAAGGGAAAATGCATAAACTCATGCAAATTGATGTGACAAACTATCTCTTCTTGTTTTATGCATCTAACATACAAATCTGTGAATATAACAAAGTTGAAAACACAAAATGATGGAACTTTTACATTGGATTGCTCAAACTAGTGTTATTAGCAAAACGTACCCCTAACTCCTTTTCATCCTACAGTCATGCTTCATGCACTATAATGCTACTGCATTTGTAGATGTCATGTTCAATAAATAGCATAGTTCGCTGATTAAATTTGTATTGCTATCTTGTAGCACAAGATTAAAATAAAAGAATATTCTGAAGAACTGCTCTCTTGTCACACACGCTTAAAATAAAACACAAATAACGAAGATATTCAAAGCCAACAACAAAAGTTCAAACTTTTCCAGCAAGCCTTCTCTTGCAAGTTCATACTAAGAAATTATAACAGGATGATTAAAGGATTAATAGAGCATCCCAAGCGCTGATGAATCAGCCACAAACACAGGTTTGGCCAGTGTAGCCCTCATGAGCAGGAAAGTGGGACATCGACCATCTCCTTTTGCCTTCTAGTTTATGTAATAACAAGCCTCCCTTCTCCTTTCAGTAGCTAAAAGAAAATCTTTCTTCTTTCTAATTCATCACAGCTTCAGTTGTTTCTTCTTCTTGGAAGGATCCTTGACTTGCCAGTGAATACATCTTTCTAATTTATAGGATATGATTAGGGTTGCTTCTAATTCTTTTTCATTTATCTGCATCAATCCTTACTCCCATTCAACATGGCACAGTTTATTATCTACTACGAAAAATCTACCCACGGATGAAATCCAACAAAATGACATATTACATGAAGTTAAATCCACCATCTAGCGAGCATCACTCTTCAAACAAATAATCATCAATGACCATCCATGAAGGGCAAATTAAAAGTACCTCATTCAGTTTATCCAGCGTAGCCAACGCATTCGGCTGCTCCTTGGGCTTTCCAAATAGCCTACCAAGCATCGTCTACTTCCTCCAGAAAACCTACAATCTGTGGAAAAGACGAAAAATTTGCAGCTTCAGCCCTCAATTTCCCTCCCCAAAGATCTCACTTTGAGCGATTCGAGAGACAGTACCGCGATAAATCTTCTGCCGGTCGACACGAATCGCATAAAAACGCTGTGTCGGAGCTGCTTCGTCTCCGATCATGGTTGGTTGATGGTATGACCATTAGGGAAGACCGGCCAACTACTTATCAACTCGCGTGAAGACCACCAAATATTAACTTTTCCTTTACCTTCCATTATATATTACCACTGCAATGTATTTTATTTGGGAGGGTAAAAAAAATAGAAGTTATTTATTTAGGACAAATAATACCTTCTTTGGTTTATTATTTGGCTTGGTGATTTATCTAGAAAAAAATTGTATATTTTCAGCTTTTAAACACTTAAAATATCCTTAAAAATATATAATTAATATTTTTATTTATTTATTTATTAGTAAATGATAAGCGATAAATGTGAATCTTATGATGATTTGATAAAGTAGCTAAGTTAGTCAACATCTTATTATCTTCCTTCTATATATGTTGACTAGCTTTAACTGATAGAATTTTTGACGATTATTATAAGATTTCGTGTTTGAATCCTATTTTTATCATTTATCCTTGTAATAAAAAAAAATAACATCTTCGAAATAAATTTTTGAACCATAACTCTCATTTTTGAACCTTAATAACTATCACACCGATATTTAAGATTATTTATTTGATCTTTATCCACTTTAGCTTCTAGATTGATTCAAGAAAAGGGTGAATTTTAGTTTTTTGGAGATGTAATTAAAATTCTAAAACAAAAATAACTTGGTGTAGATATAAGCTATGTACGTTGCTTACAAGTTTATTACTAGATTTGATTCTTTTTATTGCTTTAGATATAAATGATATAATTATTATTATTATTTTTAATCTATTATAATATGTTATTTATAATTTTATCATTTTCTTTATAACTTTATTTATAATTTATCTAAGAACCCTCCATCTTAATCCTTTGAATTTGTGGTAATTGAGAAAATTATCAAAAATAACTTTAAGGTGATCATTAAGATTAAACCCATTAAAAGGAGTCTCAAAACCATTCACTTTGATAATTTGCATCACCCAAACAATTTGGGATAAGTTTCTTTCTCTTTTGTATGAAAACATTTTTTTATTTATTTCATTCCCAAATAACCCAATTCATTGTGTAGGTACAAAGCAAAAGGGAACATGTGATCAAGATAGATTTCTTATCTCTATGCCATACTGATCACACACCTCTCATTTGATTCTTGATACATCAGTCCATCTCTGCTGAATTACCAATTAGGACTAGTCATGATGAAGCAGGTGCATCAGTGATCTAAAGCAGAGTGCAATTAGGACTAGCCATTCTCTTTCTATGTATTCTTCTGGGAAACCTCTAGGTCCTTGCAATTAGAATGGGTATTTGCATTACCTTGCATGCTTTCCTTCCTGTGATTTGTTTCTTCGTATATAACTGCAAAAAAGTATGAACAAACAGCTGATCTGATCAGAGCAAGCAAACTTTTGAATAGTATGGTGGTATATTTTTGTGATAGTTCATTGTTGAGAAATGCAACCAGTTGAAGACTGATACAATCTTAACAATTTTCTTGGAGAATACGAGAGAGGATCCCCTCACAACACCTATAATTACTCCAACTTCTTCAGCAAAAGGATCAGAAAGAACAAGTAGGCCTCGGCGATGTTAGAAGTTGTTAGAAGTTTCTGGAACAGCCATCGAATGCTAGGGAATCAGAGCACCTTCAATAGCTGAACCTCAAAAACCAGTGGCTCATTCGCATGAGAAAGCAGACTCCTCCGCGGACCAAACTGCAACATGAAATATGTATGATTATTAAAGAATAATGATTGGCATCTGAGAAAAAGTGTTTTCTGTGATTCAGTTGGTTACAGATTAATGACTTAATCCTTAAATCTTATATAGTCCATGCCTACATAGATGTGAAGCTACTTTAACTAGTCAAGAGAAGACAAAGGAGAAAACATACCTCATCTGGGATCGGTTTCAGGTTCTCATTGACATATCCCACATCAGGAGGGATTAGAGCTCTCCGCTTTCCTGAAAAAAAAAAAACTCCACATAAATTTCAACATAGCAAAAAGACAGACCAGACTGATTTAGAGAAAAGGTCTAGAAAATTCCACAAGTACAGTTGTATGTTTACTATACTATTGATCAAGGACAGACAACATTTTGTATTGTGCAATTGAGCCATAATCTTTGTCAACGTCACCCAAAGTTTAAAAATCCATTCCTATATATCGTAAGAGCAGTTTTCAGTAGATGAATACTGCAATCTGCAACCCATGTTTGTATGCACGTCACAACAGTTGTCTTTGTGTCCCTGTAGGCCTTGCCCAAGGCCACTCATGTTATGAGGGTAGGGATAAGGTTTGCACTTTCACTTCAAGGATCATGAGACCATTCAATTGGGATATACAACATAATCAAGTAAATATCTTTATCATAATTCAAAATATGAATTGCTCACCTCCAGCCTTCATGCCAACTATAACATCTTTGAGGCCTTGTATAATCTGTACAGACGGTGAGAGATACCATTCTTTCACAGAATCAAATAATAGATTTACACATGTAAATACTAATGAAAACGATTTAAAAGTAAGTGTAAATCATACCTATAGTAATCTCATTTCAAGAAAAACAATTGGTATGACACTCAAGGAAATTAACCTGTTTTTCATCGAGAGGAAGCACCACAGGTCTGCTCTCCCCACTAAATTGGTCCACCGTGCTACAGATTGGTTTTAGACAGAGTATTAGATTGAATGTACACATAGACATGCAAACTGATATATTAATATTCCATTGCAAAAGCATTACAAATTCAATAGGCACTTTGATTTAAATTAGGTAAGAAAGATGAAAAATATAAGGTTAAATAATGAGGCATGGAGGAACAGTGACATCCCCCATTTCTAGATTCTTGGGATACTGGAAAGTGTAAACCATGGTTCTCTAGACTGGCATGTACTAGATGATACATATCGGTCTGATAGCTTGTCAGGTTGGTGACGCAGACAGACAAATGCCTCCCAAACACCGTGGATACTCAAATTACAAAAAAAATGCATGGCACGTTCTGGGTATAGAGACACTGGACTTGTACTGGTCTGGCCGGGGGCCAGAACGGATCCAATCCCCAAATTGTCAAACCATACTGTAAAAATGAATTTTCAACTTGAAAGAAATGTCTTCAAGAAGAAGGGAGAATGACCTAAAAAAGCCTCCCACTTCTCTCTCCTGTCTTTTACAAACTGCAAATGAGGATATCTTAAAGACCGCCTATGAGAACAACAAAAGATCCAACACTATCAAGTTCTACAAAATTTCGTGTCTGCTAACTGAGATAGGATAGCAATGTTGGTTTAACCTTGTGCTAAAATGTATATGTTCATGATCCTACGAGTAGATTAAAAAACAAACAGCTAATTCAAATATATAGTTTCAATACCATTGTAAACCGAGCACACAGCACTGATTCATTCTGATACTATTATCTGTATACCAGTATCAATTTGTTGATCGACATTAACACAACAGTCAATTATTCCTATATCTCGTATTGGTGCACTGAGGCATACAATACACACTAGTAAATGTTTACCAGTCAGATAACTATTCTGTTTATTGTTCCAATTACTATCTACCGGATAATTTTCAGAGAATGATCAATATTTAAGACCTTATAAAAAACCCATTGGACCTGGAAAATGTGCCATAGTAAGTAGAATAATCAATCCAATATTTACCTATGGACGAAATATCCGTTGGAACGTCGGCAAACATAGTTGAATTCAACCAGATCTCCTTCATGCGCTTCTGGTCCTTCCCCTTCAATGATATCTATAAATGGAGAAAAAAACATTAGTAGGCACAAACTACAAAAAGAGATGATCTGATGCTGATAACAATCCAGAAGCTACACACACACAATTATGTGGAAATACTACCTTGAATTTTCACACCACCATCTAGCTTCCGATACCTGGATACTTCAGAATAAGATATATATAATCAGTTTAACGAAGTCAGAAATCACAATTAATAAACAAATAGTTTACTGTTTTACCTGAGTATTAAAGTATAAAAATGAAGAATCATATGATCCTTGACATATGAATTCACTGGAATAATATTCCGAATGCTACCTAATATTACCTGATTGTCTCAGAATCCTCTGCGTCTTTTGGTGGTAAAGAAAAAGCAGGATTAGCATAAACCAGAACACCAATTCCAACAAATGTCCTCCTTGATATTCTATATGATGTCTGAGGGATGAGACCTCCATATGAGTTTTTCACCCAAATTGCTCTTGCATCACATCTGTCCATATATCATTTTAACACATGATTGAATGAAGAGTACATACATTTTATACAATTGACAGTTAAGATTGCATAAACCATTTCCAAAGCAGCCCTAATTTCATAAGTTTTAAAGACATAGTAAGTTGAATCGCTTGATCAAATTGCAGTCATGACCAGTGAATCAGCCTTTTTTATATTAGTATCTGTGAACCACCCAGCAATCCTCCCAGATTTCTGAGAAGCAATAATGACCAGAAACAAAGGGAAGTTGCAAATAAATTAACTTCAGTTAATATATGCCTTGTAATCAGAATGACGATTGTATAAATTATTGAGTTTGAGATTACTCACTATCACAAGTGGAAGTTCCAGTGAATGTAGAAGCATACGTAATCAGAAAGGCTAGGAAATGCCAAAAAGCTACAGAAAAACACATAGCAATGAGTAAACGATACTACCACCTAAATATCTGAAACTTTCACCAGAGTAAACTTCCTCCTGCTACTCCTAAGAGAAATTGGCCATGGTCCTAGAGCTCCAACTTCTTCTATGGTTTGATCCAACATCTCACACTTATTCGAGTGCCATTGTTGAGTACGTACTAGCAAGTGGATAGTCTATATGAGAAATGGAATGACCATGAGACACATGACTTATTGCGTTAATCTTTTGGGTCAATGGTGTTCCTTAGATGTGTAGAAGCTCTATTCTATTACTTCGTTTATGCTCGGATATTCACCAACAAGTGGTATCAGAAACCATGATTGAGTTGGGCAAACAAGAGGAGCTACCTAGATATGCCGGCTTAAGATGATTTAAGTCAAATGATGTGGTTGTTGCTGTCAAGTAGGAAGACGAAGATGGCCAGTCTCAAGAGACCTAAGGTGTGATGCAAGTGTAAAGTGTGATGTATATGTAGCAAGGTGATAATTTGGCTACTCTAACAGCAATGATTTGTGATGCTGAGGTATAGGTGTGAGGTTTGGTGCATGGATGAATCGAGGTTGCATTACCAAGTTGTTGGCAATGTGATTGAATTGATAGCATGTGATGTATAAGAAGCTTTGATCAAAGACTCACAAGCGAAAGGGAAGATGGATGGATATTCAATTGTTGATGGATAGAGCCACATATGGAGAAGAGTTCACCAGGGGAGAGGGGTGAATCTGGTTATTCATTGATGAGTGGATTGTCGAGTGGGTTATTCCCATATGGTATAGTTAAGTTGCAAAAGATGGCAAAAGGACATATGACATATGAAGGTACTGTGCTTGGATTGGGTAGTGTTTCTCATGTTTATCCCATTCATCCCAAACCTATTCAACTAAAAGATACCCCCTAAACCATTCCAAATAACTAACAGAACCAATTACCAGGAAGCCAAAAAAGGCAATCCATCTGAAATGACCTCTAAATCTTCAAACCAAAACTTGTTGGGCTCGCTAGCCATATTGGAATGGGCATCCACGACTCAAACACATCAGAGAATTCCCAAAGTTCACTGTATTTGGATGAACCTTTTCCAGCATAAACATGATGAATTACTTGATGCGTTCGTGTAACACCAGTGCATAGCAAAGCGAAAAGAAGAGAGAGACCCAAAGAAAGATCCCCAATTTCAAGCCCAGCTCTCGGCATCGTACCCAAAGGTCGACAGCACAAAGACTTAAAGAAAGAAAGGGAACGAGCAACAGCTGAGCAAGAAAAGGGAGACATTCAGGACGAGAAGGAAGAATCGAGCGGCGGGAAATCCGACCTTGGAGTAAGAGACGTGAAGCTCATCATCATGGAGGCCGGCATCCAAAGCGGGCAAGCTTTCATTTTTTTCCTCGGGTTTCTCCTAATTTTTCTGCTCCCTGCAACCACCAAGTGGCAGAAGAAGAACACGGGACTCGTCCCAAAAGATAGTATTGCATAGGACACCCTATTTTTCTCTTTTGTCTTTTTTTCTTTTTTATTTCTCTGGATTTTTCGTTAAGCTTCCTATACCGTAAATATAAATTAATGGGTGAATTTTTAAAAAAATATTTACATTTGTAAATTTTGTTCAGAGCACCCAACTTTAAAATAATTCTTATAAATTAATTTTTATAAATAATTATTTTTATCATTGACCTTGTTGGAGCCATCCTCGTCTCTATCCTGTGTTACCTTTGTCTTACTTGCTCATGGCTTGTAACTCTATCGTGAGGAACGAGGAGTACGAGACCCTGATAACCCTATCTTCATCGACCCTGTCAGTCTCATCCTGCATGTCTCGTTCGTAACTCTTATGTAAGAAAATATAAGACACACAGGCTATTGTTATCTTTGCTGACTTCACTGATCCTCGTTGAATTTATTGTTCATAACCCTTGTGTAAGGAAAGAATGGTGGTTTTTGTCGGTCCCATGGTTGTGCATCTTGCTGATAGACATTATGCGAGGAACACCTAATTTTTTTATTTTTTATTTTTTATTTATCTTGATATACTTAGTCAAGCTTCGTATATCATAAATTATTATACAAATATAATCAGTTTCAATCCTATTGGGTCGGATCCGACCGACTTCAAATTAGAATTCCGGTCAGCTTCATAAGACACCGCTGCACATTATAATCACCGGTTCGCCATCTTATGTCCCAAACCTTCGCCATGGTCTAAAGCGCAGCAAGTCTCTACATGCCGCCGTCTTCGGTGTTTCGTTTCCCATGCCATGGATTTCCGTTTCCCCTTCCGCAGCATCCCGCTCCTCCCGTGCCCGCCGTCGCACCGTCACTCGCCCACCTGCCCTTCGCGGCCACCGCCCGTCCACCACGTCCCCCTCTGCCCAGAAGACCCTGTCTTCCTCCGACGGTAAGCTCTCCGCCTTCTGCGCCGCCGTCGCCGAGTCCGCCCGGCGCCGCATCGCCGCGCCTCTGCTCTCACCCGGCTCCAGCCCCTCCCGTCCCAGCCCATCCGCCTACAACGCTCTCATGAAATCCTTCTCCCGCTGCGGCGACGCCGACGAGGTCCTCCGCCTCTTTCACGAGCTCAGGCGCTCGCACCGCACTCCGAACGCCCTCTGCTACAATACCCTACTCAACTCCCTCGTTGTCGCCAACCGCCACGGCCATGCCGAAGCCTTGTTCGACGAAATGATAGCATCAGGTGTCGCCCCTACCACTTCCTCCTACACCATTCTTATAAAGTTGTTGTCTTTCTACCCGAACCTCATCGATTCGGCATACGAGGTCATCCGCTTCATGGTCCGGTCCGGCTGCCAACCGGACGCAATCACCTACTCGACCCTCGTAGCAGGGCTCTGCCGAGCAGGGAGAATAGAGGAGGCTTGGGGTGTTTTGGATCAAATGATGGAGGACAAGTTGCTGCCGACCGTCCAATCTTACACTTGTATCGTTCAGTGTTATTGCTCGGAAGGTAGGATCGAGGAGGCCAAAAGACTAGTTGGTGTGATGGAGAGTGTTGGATGTCAGCCAGACGTTGTAACTTATAGTGTCTTAATTGGGGCATTGTGCCAGGCTGGGAAATTTGGCGAGGTTGAGAAGGTTTTGAAGGAGAGCGAGGAGAAAGGATGGAAGCCAAATGAGTTTACCTATAATATCTATATGAATGGTCTTTGTAAGGCAGGTAAATTTGACGAAGCATTTCAGCTGTTAGAAGTCATGCGGGCAAGTGGATTGCATCCTACAATAGATACTCTCAACATACTTTTTGATTGTCTCTGCCAAGATTCTAAGGTTTGGGAGGCAAAATGTTTGTTGGAGAGGAGCTCTGAATTAGAATGGGATGTAGATGTCTTCTTCTATAACACCTTGATGAGTAGGTTTTTCGAGATAGGTGAGTTGGGTACTGTTCTGAAGCTGTTGAGCGAGATGTTAAAGAAGGGGATTGATCCTGACACTTGTACATTTACCATTGTGATCCGAAGCCTTTGCAAAGCTGGGATGCTTCAGCAAGTTAAATGCATTATCAACAATAAGGGTTTTGTTGCTGATGTTGTCGCCTTTAACACTGTGTTACATGAGTTTTACATGTTGGAAGAGTTAAATGATGTGCGGAAAGTTTATTCATATATGATAGCTGAAAATGTTACTCCAAATAAGTTCACATACTGCATCATGATTGATACTCTCTGCAGTGAGGGGAACTATTTGGATGCTATTGATCTCCTTCTTGGATCTTTGAGATTTGGGTTCTTTCCTGACCTGGTTATTCGTCTAAATAACTGGCTGGTGAAGTCTGGAAAGCTGAGAGAAATTTTAAACCTCGCTGAAGAAATATTGAGCAGAGGTCTAGTTATAAATGTTTCTATAATCACTTCGCTGGTCAGGGTATTTTGCAGGGAGGGTTATTGCAAAAGCAACAATGTTTACAGAGTTTGTCTAGTACTTGACAAAGTGCTGGGGATGAGATAGTTCATCTCAGGACTATATCACACATTTTTTATGAGTTTGCCTCATTGGACATCATTAGCTTACTGAAGGTACTGTCTTTCTGAATTGCAGAGCTCATGATATTGGACTTTGCTGTCTCTTTTATAACTTCAATTGATTTTAGCACCTTTCTTCATTCAATATTTTGTTTTATCTTGTAAATGATTACACACTAATATGATGGATTGATCTATTTTTTCAGGATCATACACTTTGCCTCAGTTTCTGTGTATTAGGTCGAGTATATAGAAAAATATAATGTCTCATGGGAAATTAAGATACAGAATTAAAAACGTAATTTAATCGTTTGTTTCGTCAAATAACCCATTCACCCTAGATGATTTTATATTATTAGCTACTCTTTAGTTACAGCATCGCCCTGCCTCATTCAAGTTTTTGGTTTTTCTCTTTTATCAGAAATAGAAACCTACAGTGAGAATACTTTTACAAGAGAATATCGTAGACAAAGTATTTGATGATGTTGTATATGCCTTAGAGGCCATAATTTAAAGCCTTAAAAATAGAGCATAAGCTCCATTGTTTTGATTAATAAAAGTCATATGTGCATAAGAAAAGATATAGATGATATGGAAATCCCAGTGAGATCTAGTACTTGGTTGGTAGTGCCTTATCAGTTGGCACAAGTGCGCAAATCTTATGTTAGAGAGGTACAAGCACTTAACATTATTGTCTTGGTGGACAAATGCCAAGGCCAATTTTTGACCTAACTAGGTTGGCACAGTATCAAGCCATGCATGAAAAGTATTGGTAAGCCCCTGGGTCAGAAAAACAACATACATTAGGTATTCAGATGTATTATCATATTCTTTAGACACTTATTGCTTAGCCTTAGATCAAGATGAGAATCGTTACGAGTAATTCATAAACAAGGTAGGAATTTGGTATATTTTCTCAATTATGATCTTAGCTCTCGATGTACATCATCCTGTTTTGTTTTGTTCTATTCTGTTCTGTTCTATCATTGTCATATATCACTCTTTCTTATACCTTTAATAACACATGATCTTCTTGTATTTTTTAAATAAAAAATGCAGGTACAAGCTTGACTTGGACTTCATACTAATTACTGAAATGTTTGTTACAAGAGAATTTTCAGGATTCTCAGCTTCAGGGGGTTTTTGAGATACATATTTCTTCTAGAAATAAAGGCTAGTTCTCAATTATTTGAGAAATCTTTTTTTTTTTTTTTTGTATCTATCCTTATTTTGAAACAAAATTTCTCATTTTATCATCTTTCTTGTTTGTTAGAGTATTAATCCTGTTTAGTGTTTGCAGGGTATATATGATGACATTGTGGATTCCTCTTTTGTTAAATTGATTTTGCTACTGTTAAGAGGAGGTAATCTATTATTTCCTCAGTTTTTCTTTTTGAGGATGCTTCCAGCAACAATGTTCCAATTCAAATGCAGTCATCATCCATTCTGCGGCTACCTTCTGCAGGAATATGTGCCTTCTTATACAAGTTCTATTTTCCTTGCGCAGGAGATAATGGACTATTGAACCAAGAGGTTCGATCTGCTGCAGTACAAGTCTTGGTACTGATCATACTTTCCATGTAATCCATGACCAGAAGATCCTCAGTTTCCTATCTTTTATATTTGGAATGGTGTCTTCCTGAATAGGTAACTGAACTGGCATTCTCAGAGTGTGACCTGATTTTTTGCTGCAAGTTTTTAAGCATATGTTAAAATGATGATTATTATGATTATGATTATTATTGTTATTGTTTATTATTATTATATCTGAAATTAGATGGTCATGCTAGAATATATATATATATATAAGTATGTAACACTGTGAATTGGATGATTTTAAATAATTGGAAAAGTGATTTACTAATATTTTTAGTACCTGTGGTTTGCATGCTTCATGAAGTGTATTGGATGATAAATAGTTTTTTTTTTAAATTAAATTGCTTCAGCTGGCGGTGTCAATTATTACACAGTACTGTATTCCTTAAGAGTCACCAAAGCAGATGATAGGTAATATTATCACTGCTGTTATAAAATACACATTAATCAATCAATTGCTTTTTTGCCTCCATAAAGACTGTTTGTACCTCTGCAGTTCACTTGAACTATAATCATATTTCAGGCTGCATGGAAGAATGATCAAAGCAGCATCAATCCGAAAAAACTGTGGATTTATTGTATGATACTGCTCTGATTTCTCGTGGATTCTCTCTGTAAGTCATCTTGGCTTCCTCACATTTTTTGTTTTCATAAAATTACTGCTTCTTTTTGCTTGTTCCTAACGATCAGATTTGATTTGGCCTGACAACCCTGCTGAATTGGGAAACAAGATATATGAGATGATGGTGATCAATCTCAGCGGAAGATCAGGAGATCAGAATCAGAATTAAGTGGTAGAAGGAGTTGACCAGGAGGCAAGAAGCTCTGAATCTGGATCTTCAGAGGTGACAGTGGTGGATGTGGTTTGAACCATCGGAAGTGAGGATGGAGGATGATCCATGGAACGATTAAGCATCTTCTAGTAGGGAATTAAATTTTTGAGGATTTGGTTAAAGGAGTTGACAAGGGATTTTTATGTGTAGGATGAGGGCATCAATGTAGTCAGTAAGATGAATTCGACAGGTGACATTTATGAGAAGGATGCAGCCGCTCTTGTGCTGCATGTATTCATATTGTAGCCTACAGCTATTTACATCTCAAAACATTAGATAATCATTTTGGAAGAAAATGGTGATGGCATCTTCCAGGAATCTGACCTTGTTATTACAATTTTGAGTCCTCTGCTTCATTGCATCATACTGATAACTACTAACACCATGTATGACAAATGTCTGGTGTGATCCAAAGGCTTCTCACTGAGTTACATGTCAGTGAGTTAACAGTAAAATAGATGTATTCTTTTTTACTATGAACTTTGTAGATAATAAAATTCAGGTGGGAAATATACATAGCTGATGTTGATTTGTGGTTGCTTAATCAGTTTAGGAGTTTGATGCCTTGAGATAACAAGAAAATCTTCAGAGGATTTGACACTGAGAGTTGAATCAACTCTGACCCCATTTCAGAATCTGGAATATGAATATATATATATATATATATATATATATATATACAACTTTTGAAAATGTGCTATATTGGCATTCTTTAAAAGGTTGTCTTCAAACAATCTTGACCTGAGGGTGTGTTGGGTGTTGGGAAGATCCCAGTGTAACTTGATTCAACTGCAGACAGATGAGACCTCAAACTGGTCAAAAATCTCCACTGTTGCAAGTCTATTGACAATGCAAAGTTTTTGGATACAACTTTTTAACTTGTACTAGAAGTGGCACTTGCATGTTAATATGGATCTTCTATGGTTCTCTATGATACCTCAACTCAACTAGCTAAAGTTGCATCTTCCTCAACTTTTTCTGTTCTATTTGTGAATTGAGAAGCAGTTCTTTTATTACTGCAACATCCTGATATTTTCCTTATTGATGTAGTTCATGTTAATTGGTGAACATCTCAGATGATAAAAGTGAACTTACACATTTGTATTATTTCTTTCTTTTTGGAACATCTGTAGTCTCATCACTTTGTGCATTTAGTTCAATAAACTGAGTCATGTTTGTAGTCATATGTTCGGTCTCAATGGTCTTTAATCTAAAACTTCTATCTTCTAAAGTTTGTCTTTATTACTCAAATTCTATCTAAACTTACATCAATCAGATCAAATATGATCAATAATAAAAGTTTCGATATCATACCCCAGATGAATAAGCTAGATGATTTTGCTAGCACATTGACGGTCAATGTAAAACTAAAACATTGCAAGGATCGATATGCGAAATGCGCTTAAGAAGATTTTAAGCTTCTAACAGAAGATTAATATTCTATTTTGTATGTAAAGAATCAGTAATAAGAAAAACAAAAGTAATACATAAGATGCTGTTGTTCACATATGAACATCTCTTTGCTCAATAAAAAATGATACATGGACAATTCTGTTGGCTGCTTATAGTTGGATTAGGCATCTCTTTTGGCAATTAATACTGAGCTTTTCTGGTATCATTCCACTGATAAAAATCTATCAGCACTAAGGATGAAACAAGTTCTTCCAAGATGAGACACTTCATTGGATTGAAGCCTATTGTTATTTCCAGGCATTTTCTCTTAACTGTAGGAGGTAACATATTGAGGAATATGTGAAGGTTAATAGGTTAATTTCTTCATCTGTGAAAATTATAGCAAGCTAATCATACATGCATGATTTACAATTTTATGAAACCAAGCTTTCAGTAGTTTTCTTTCATTAAAGAGAAGGAACATGGTGCAAGCAATTAATATATTTTTACTACTTTTGTCTTGTTCTTTATCACATCAATCTTCAACTAGATAATGAAGTTAAAAAAATACAGGAAAAGAACCTTAATGCTTAAGAATCATGACATCAGATAAATAATTGTTCTGATGTCTTATGGAAATTTATCTCATGTAAATTAAATTGTTTGGGATGTAAGAACAAATTGTAACATTTCTACAACAATATAATTTTCTATCAGATAGAGTTATTACCTATCTTGTTCATGTCACCATAGAAGACAAGCTTGAGAGTATGGCAACAGGAAAGATTTGTGAAGGACCAGAAACAAAAGCTCATTAATCCAAGCATCAAAATTTGGTTTACCTACAGACTGTGTAGGTCAATGAACAAAGCTTTTATGTAATGGAAAACTCATGCAGATAGCAGATGAAAGATCTTTCTTTGGCGATCTCAACTCAAAGTTTACACTCAATTGGGCTTTTGCCGAGACAAAACTAAGAGGGAGTACAGAAGCAGAAAAGAGAAGGGAAAGATCAACAGTAGGGCAACAACATAAGTCATCAATGATCACGGCTCTTGGCTGAGAGAACTTGGTGGGATTGATGGCTTTGGTGCATCCCGGACCAAGGAGAAAGGCTTTGCTATAAAGCTAGGCTTGCTATCCCCAGCCATTACGACCACGAACTTTGGCTCCATGTCTAAATGCACAATCACAGGCTTCTCCGGTAGGCTCGGCGACCGCGAGTTCTGATCTCGAGACGATCTCCAGTGTGAGATTGCTAGTATGATGAGAGCAGCTGCTATAAGGATCATTGCTGCAGCAAGACCTCCAAAGAGGTAAGGAATTGGAGTATGCCACAGATTGGATGCACTCATACTTGACAAGCTTGCAGGCCTCATTCCTCTCCTTTGATCTTATCCTTCCACTTCCTTTCTGTAAGGTTTCTGGTGTAGACATTAGAAGCTGAGATGTGGGCTATTTATAGATGACAGGTGGTGGTGGTGGTGGTGGTAGTGGTAGTGGTAGACACAGTGGAAACAAGTACTTTAGCATGGAATGGATGCTTCCACTTAGTTCTTGTTTACATTTTACCTCAACCTCCAACTAATCCTTTTGTGATGTGCTCATTAATTTATCCTTTTTGTCACTGATTTGCAATATCTCTGTGAGGTCATCCTCTCTGGTGGATGCTTGCATGGACTGCAACAACATAGTGCATAATATTCTCTTCAAACAAAAGGGAAAATATCTATTGCTTGATGCAAGTCCACACCAGTGCATGTACTTGTGTAGTTAGAACACAATCTTCAGATTAGTTCCTTAAATATGCAGGTGACTGAAACCCAAAGAGAGTTCACCAAAGCATCAAAGCTTTAGGATGAGTAGCTTTGGTTTATCTTTATTGTCACTCACAAAAGCAGCTCACTAATTCAAGTCATCTTTCTCACTGCACAAACTACATTCAAGCAAACATCTTTCTGTGTGTCTGAGTTCTTGTGTACAGTTCGCAGCTCACTCATGGACTCGGTGGAGAGCAATAGTTCATTGCTCCATGGTAAGTTGGACTGTTGGAGAGTCATATCCTTGTTGTCCTGGAAGTTAGCATATAGAGGGTGCACAAAGCCATGGCTGCAACTATTTCTCTCCTTTGAAGTTAGCAGAAGACTGTTGAGGTAACGCCATTAATGCGTTCTCAACAATAATAGAAGCCACCACAGAGAAACCGGATAGCCTTATCTTGTTGCCATATCCTGGCATCATCATCACCAGAACCCCACTCTACAACTTCAAGCCTCCGCGTCCAACGACCCATATCCAGTAACTCTTATCTTTCCCTTGTGAAGTATTTAGATGATGCTAAGCTTGAGGAAAGGAATACAGAATAGGAGACTCAAGTGCAAAGATTCTTGCCTCCTGATGTCTTTTTAGCTCATGGAGGAAGGTCTTATCTCCAAACACTCACCATATGTGACTTGCAACACTAGTTAAACTCTTAAGATAGACTTTTGGCTGACAAATAATGAAATCACTAACAATTATAAGCAGCATTCCTTTATATATAAAATAGTCCTATTTGGATCCATTTGGCAGTTGTTCAGTGCATTAGATGCACTAATTTGAAAGCCAAACATAACATAATACTCTAAAGATTAATGTTTTGGAGGACTAAAGATCAATCATCTGAAGATAAACAACAGGTTAAAGCATCTGCTTTTTTAGAGAAGGCACATATTCTGAAACTGTTGCACTTCAAGAAGACATGCATGCCAGGATGACAAGATCTATATATCATGGCTCTACATGAAAACTAGATTACTGGTACTTTCACTAGAATATAATACTGTCACTTCTTAAAGTAATCCCTTGAGCTTATCTCCAAGTAACAAAGGCATCAAAGCTTTAGATTATTAGAGAGTATATGTTGCTTTTCTTTTGTCTAGAATGGCTGGTAGGTGTCTTCTTTATCTCACTTCCTAAACTTACTCATGGACTTGGTGGAGAATAGTTTACTGCAGGCTGCTATTTTCCACCTTCGAAGATGGCAGGACTGTTGAGGTAGCTCCATCGATGCATCCTCACCAAGAACAGGAGTACATGCAGAGAGCACTTGTGTGCAGAGTAACATAGGGAACCAAAAAGCCTTATCTTGTTGCCATACCATCATTACCAAAGCCACTTTACAGCTTCAAGCTTCCGCGTCCAACAACCAATGTCCAATTAAGCTATCATTCTCTTGTCAAGGATTTAAAGGTGATGCTAAACTTGAGGTGGGCAATTTAGAAGAGGAGACTTGAGGAGGAAGGCTTTTGCCTTCTATAACAGGCCCTTTTATCCTGTGGAGGAAAGACTTATCATTAAGAAACTTCAAGTTCTTTAGCATATAGAAATTTTCATGGACAATAAATTTTAAGGGGCAATCCATATCCATCATAATCTTTGTTTTATAGAGGTATGTTTAGTAATTATATAGATGTGATACAAGATATCTATGATACTGTAGTTAGTGTAATGAACAGATTTATGTCATATCTAGAACAGATCCACAAGGATGATATTATTTTGATCATTAAAAGTTTAATTAGGATTAATTTAGATATATATACTGGTGCCTCTGCTATTTAATATTAACAAGTTATTAAGCATATAGGAATTTTCATGGATACAGTATTGCCAAACTTGATCCATTATAGCCCACAGATAGTAATCATAAAAGATTCCCAAAAGGTGATCCATATCCATTACTACCATTAGTTTCATAGGTAAAAGGAAAATATAATAAATAATTATATTAATTTGATAAAAGATATGTATGATATAATGATTTGTAGTGTTAGGATTGTACGTTAGTAATAAACAAATGTTCTTGTCATACGTGAAAAATATCCCCATGATTTATGTTATGTCATATTCACGATATTATTTTGATTGATAAAAAATTATTTGGACTTAATTTGAACTTTAGCTATCAAGATAAAATTTAAAAATAAATGTTTTAGATTAAGAAGAATCATGACCAAATACATGAAATATAATCTTTGAAATACTATTAAAAAATAAGGATGTATTTTAAATAGATGAATAAAAAAATCTTGTAATATTTTAGTTATCTTGGATTCATCATTCGATAAAAAAAATAATAATGATGAAGATATTATTGATAGAGAAAAATTTAGATGTAAAATTTGAGAGAGGCACCAGAGATATTTTGATTTATTTATGTTCCCCTTAGATTTAAATAAAAAATATTAAATAATTAAAATGCCAATAATTCTTTATTGATCAAAGTGCTGGGATTAAAAAAATAATATTTTCTGAAGGTTAGAAATAAGATTTAATAAAATAAAAAGATGGTCTCATTCAAAAATAAATAAATATTGCTCTAATAGAGAATAAAATGAAAAAATATATCATGTAACAAAATATTCAAAGAAAACTAGTATTTATTGTGGTTAGATGATGTGAGAAGAGTGAGCTCACTAGCAACAAAAAAAATGATTTATTTATATAGAGTTCAACAATTGGAAGGAAAAATACGGTTGTTCTATAGAGGTGAGGTAATAATGACAAAGACTCACATGAGTCGCTCTTGACTACTCCCACCCCAAAGTTAGTGGAAAACTTTAAAATCATGTAGTAAATCAAGATAACTATACGCAAGCGATTGAGGGTTAGTGACTAATGATTGTATTATAGGGGAATAAAATATCGAATCACTAGAAATTTTATTTTCATGATTTTAGAGCAATCATCAAATCCAAAAGTAATATACAAATCTAGGGAGTTATGGAATTTCACTGAAGCCAGTGAATATAGAGGAGATCAGTTGGAAGTCATTTACGCTTAACTCGGATCTTCAAGAAAGCATCATAGTATATGATATGTTGGCAGAACTTCCCATGTCCACTAAAATTCTTTTTATCATTACATTGGTGATCTTGAGATGACCATCATAGCATCGTTATGATGAGGATCAATGTGCTCAATCTCTTCTTCCTTAAACATAATCGGAAGATCTTCTAAGGGGCAAAATCTTTTATATGGAGGGCCCTCGTATAATTATTTTTGGATGTGGAATTGGTTCTCTAAATATGGGTCCCCACACAATGATATCCACCTAACACTCAATTGAGCTTTATAGTCTCGGGGAAGGCTCTCGCACCCTATGTAAGTAACGATTAAGCTTCCCCTTCTAGATGAGCTCCTTGATCAATAATTTTAAATCATAATAATCTTATGTGTCATGCCCATAATCTTGATATGAGTAATAGTATTTTGAATGGCTTAGACGAGTTGGAGGATCCTGTAAAGAGTGGCGAGTGTGAAGCAACCTCTTCTCTTTTATCTGCACGAACACTTCGGTATGCAACGTATGACGTAAAATCTCTACAAGGAGGTGCCCAATCAACCCTTGGTTTGTCATTATAGGGGGCACTCCAAATTGCCCACTCATGAACTCCTCTTCTCCCTTGGGACTTTCTTAGGTTCAGAGTTCCTTTTTCTTGTAATTATGGATTATACTATGATATAACGATTGGCCTCCTGCAAGAGCTCTAGAAAAATGTTCAGTAGTTGTATGATAACTAAATAAAATAACTTCAAAAGTTGATAGTTGTCGATATAAGCGTTAATTAGAACATATGGATTTAGGTGAGCCACCAGTCTAACTTCATCATGAAATCTTTTTGTATAACTAGCAAGGGACTCCTTGTTCATTTGTTGAATTTCTAAGAGTGAGATAGTTGGTTTCTCTTAGAAATAGTTGGTTTCTTTAGCATCTTATAGCAAATAAAATTTAACTAAATCTCTTTTACTAGTTATCCAAAAGATGAGATGAATTTAAGTGAAAACTTTGAAAACCATTTCCTTGCTACACCGCTAAGAGTGGTCAGAAAAGTTTAGCACATAAAAGAGTTGCCATCTCAAATAATGTCATTTGGGAAGTGAAAGCCTTGGAATAGACTCTTCCATTATACTCTTGACAATTGAGGACTTGAGATAGGTGTCAATTTCAGGTTACTTTTCCTGCCTTATATCTCTTTTAATATCCTCGAGCCATTGACCTTAGCATCCTAGTCTAGTTGAGGAGGTGGAACTTTTGGGAGATGAATTGGAGAGTAAATTTCTGGTTGTGGCTCGACCATTGGTGGGCCTGACTCTGCCATCATGCTAGGGGTAAGGATGAGTGGAAGCACTGGAGCAAGGAAATGAGGGGTATGAGGATTTTAATGTGTTCCTTATTACAATAATTAGGTTCGTTAGGAGAGATATAGAGCAAGAGACTAGAATACCCCTATCAAGAACTAGACTTGCTAAGTTAGACTATGAAAAGTACTAATAGGAATGGTGATAGTTTGGACAAATGGAGCTGCCGATTGGAAAAGAGGTGGGTTAATTGGTGGATCCTAGAATAGTCAGCAAAAAAGTTGGCGATTAGGAAGTTAGAGGATAGGAGCATGATCAAACCTTAGAGAATCGAAACCAAGGGGTTTGATAGAGGAGCATTCAATGCCATTAAGCTCGGCCCTCTTGGATCATTCAGTATATTCAATTGGTTAGCCTCATCCGAGTTCAACTTTAATGGTCTCGTAAAATTTTCTCGAGATATGCTTGGCATCCCTCCTTCTAGTGCTAATCTATTAAGTCAGATTTTGATTATCCGGAGAGGTGAGTCAAATCTAACCAAGGCTTATTCTAAGATTATCTAAGTTTTTACTTAAGCCTCGATAATGCATCAATCTTGCAAGACTAAGTTAGGGGTGTTTTCGAAAATAACTTTTTCGATGATCAAGTCAGTTCCCGAGATTAAAAGCCTAAGACTATTCGGATCAGACGGATTAGGCAAATTAATCAACAAGACCAAGAAGATGAATCTCCAAAATATATATCTTGGGAGTCTCTTTTATAAGTGGTTTGGGAACCATTACATTCAAGATAATTGGGTATTAAGAGGGGACGTGTGACATTTTGGATGAGGACATAGTATAATGTTCATCCCTCCTATTACTTACGTTGCTTAATTGTGCTTTTCTTAGGGTTGAATAGTCAAGTATTTGACCACGTATGATTAATTAAGTTTATGTCTTTCAATTCGACTATCACTCGTCGATAGATAAGTTATTACCAGGATTGACTTGTCAACTAGGTTTGGATTGATGTGTTTGTCATGTCAATGTTTTCCGAACATAATTAACATATACCCTAATCTATATTAAGTGGATTGGGTTGATCTAAGAGTTTAGTAATGCTTAAATTCAGGTATATCATATTAAAATTAGATTAGACTCAAATTTGGTTCATTATCCAAACACTAAAATGCTTTAGCAGCTTAAATCATTTTCAATCATATCGTTAGAACACACTGCATCGTCTCTTTATAGTGTAATAAAAATAATAACCAAAATTCTGATCCAAAATAATTTTCTTACAGGGGACATCATTTCACCAATAGAAAATAAAAATAAGAAATAGCTTATCCCAGCATGTAACAACTGCTTCAATGCAAGTGCGGGGCTTTATATATATATACATACATACATACATATATATATATATATATATATATATATATATATACATATATATATATATATATATATTTATATATATATATATATATATATATATATATATATGTATATATATATATATATACATACATATATATATATATATATATATATGTGTATATATATATATATGTATAT